TGTCATGGGCCTTTGATGCTGCTGGATTATTGGTTGTTGTAGCGCTGTTATTGTTATTGTTGCTGTCAGGCTCAGCTGGCAAGCCCATACCACTCTGCGGCCCATTGATATTTCTCTGTGTCACGTGATTTAGACTGAAGCAGAATAAAACGGAAATTAGTGCATCGTAAACGCGATTACCATACGACGAGATAACCGCGATAAACTCGGATTACAGTAGACTAAATATCGACGGCGATGTTGAACCAGTGAATTCCAATGGGCCCCTCATCATCCTCCTCTACATAAACGAATGAGTGAGCCACTCGTGCTAAACGGTTTCGCCAGTCAAATACGCATGATCAAAGTTTGTTAGATTCAAGGATTGCGGGATATGTGGGGGGGAATGATAATGCGAGGAATTGATAGCGTTAACCAGCGATAAGAGACCAAACAGGCCCACTAAGTCGAGATTAATTTTCTCATGCTCATGCATCTCTGTTTACACAATCCTAATATTCTTTGGATTATCGCTTCTCTTCCGGATACTGCTTGTGAAACTATTCCATTATGTCATTGATCTTAGTGCTCACTCGGTTGTTCTGTCGTTGAAGATGATAAGATTATGAGATAATTAAGGTTCATGAAAGTTCGCCAGCAACTGTGTGAAACGAGTTGATTTCCAGGGATTAGATGGTGGGAAATTGCGATTAATGACTCACTTTGGATTGTTGGCTTGATTTTCCGGAGAAGGGGCTTCCTGCTTGAAGACTATCAGCGAGGGTAATTCCAGCAGAGCCTCACTGAAACAACTCTGCATTTACATACATCGTACGCGCCATCCAAGTTCAATTTAGCAGCGAAGAAATAAAACTAGTTGAATCACCTAATTCAGTTCACGTTTTCCAGAATTTTCCAAATATCTCGGAATCCGGTAGAAATCCATAAATCATTGTCGGAAACTTTTTTGTAGATCTCAATCATTTCTGCAAAAAAGGTCCTCACAATAATTGTGATAGGAGCTCCCAATTCTGAGATATTTATTTATTACTGATCGGAGAAACATCCACTGGGGATAATCGTGTTTTAACGCTTCGCTACTGAACTAGTTAGTGAACCCATTAGATAATTACTGATTCAATCACTTGTGACGACTGTACCTTGATTTTACGAGTAGCATTATTCCCAATGTGTGAATATGAATGGGGAATTAGAGTACTTATAATGACAGAGGATGCGTCTCTTGCCTATCGATAGAAATACCAGTTCGTTGAGGTGTTAAGTGCCAGTGTATTACACTCCTCCCACGAGGTACTATACCCAAGCAAATTAGTGTGTTCTGAACCACTGCGAACCGGATATTAAAGTAGGCTTCCCCATCACATCCGTTCCCCCCCACTCTCGTAATTCCTCAATATTAATTAGCTCTAAATCTCCGGGAAATATTTATTTTTCGACGAATTGCACCGTGAGACCGATTTTCGATTCATTATTATGTAAAATGGGATTGGATGAATGGGATTGCGTTGTGATATCCCCATGTTCATTGTTGGATCACACCTCAGCGTGGTATTAAGATACTCCATGAACTCACGATCGATATCTCACCGGAGATCATGATGGAACTCACCTTATATCGTAAGACTCAACGGCATTAGCGAGATCATTGGCAGCCATAGCTGACAGTGCATTATCGAAATCAGCCACCAAGTCTTCAGCGAGTTCCTCGACCTGTAGTGATGGCCACTGGGCGGAGCCATTGCTCCTAATTGATCCTGAAAAAAAAAATCGAATTACTCATTAAAATTGGGCGAAAATGCCCCACCATTGACTAGACCGTGTTCTCATTGGACGTAGGAAGATGAAAAAATTTCATTCAGTCCTTCGCAATGCACACGTGATTGTTCTTCCGGAAATTAACAATTGACCCGTCCCAGGTCCGAGAGCTTGAAAGCTGAGGACTGGCCTTGGGGGACAATCAGACAAAATTTTCTTACTGAAAAATTATCACTCATTCATTCCCTCATTCCCCTCGGGCGACGTTTTGTGATAAAGAAAAAATTACCATCTTTCCTTGCATGCTTTCGGTCTAATTCTCCAATTGACTGGTTCGCCTCGGTGGACCGACGTTTCAGCCCGTTGGATGATTGATTGAAGCTCTGAACCGACGTCGGCGAATTACCGCGTGATCCGCCGGTTGAGGGCAGCTGATCGTCAGCGTCCGGTGAATTTTTCGGTGATTCACGCTTACCGTGCCACAATATGTCACTTTCTGACACGTGATAACCCATTGACACCTGTCACGAATGAAAAATCAATTGACTGCCTTCTATTTGGGAATTGTTTAAATTATTCCTCTCCTTTTCATGATAACGAGACAATTAATAAAAAAATCACTCCCTTTGTCTTTCTGACAGATTTTTTTTCCAATTGAATTGAATAACTTTTATCAATTTATTTTAGATCATAAAGAATCATTCGAATTTTCTGGGGAATAACGAAATTTAATTAATAGAATTTCGCAGAATTTTATTTCGTATGGCTTTCCGGAGAGTGGATGAAATTTAATAATTGAAGAGGACTCGAAAAAAAATGGTGATGAATTGATTCGGGACTTTAATTGAATGGGGAACGTACTTGTTGAGTGATGACGTCGCGACCCTCGTGGCGAACGGGAGATAATCGTTGATAGGGTGGAGATGGCGAGTGACCCAGCCACACGGTACCATTCAGCGTCTCTGTGCTGGCCTCCATCATAACTTGCAATTCCATTCGAAAATATTCCAAACGAATTCCTTTTCTCCTTCGATTTACCCGACTCTCCAAACCAATGTCTTCAAATATTCAACCCAATTTATTCCAATTTCCGGGATTTAAGAAAATTACTGTCGTGCAATTTTAATCGACAACGAGAACTAAGTGTTCTGTCGTATCGAGAATCCAAAGTCCATGATCAGTTGCTCGTTATGTTCTCTTTGTGCTTTTGCCTGATCCGCAATTTTCGCTTCACCAACGATCTCTCAAAATTTTTACAAACTTCTACATCAAGGCTTCTATATATCACTAAATAATGAAAAATCCTCTATCGATATCTCCTGGTCAACAAATAAGAGTCACTCTTTAATTTCGTCAACTTCTGGAGGGACAAGGGCACACACACGTACGTGCGCTTAAATTAATATTCCTCTGCTTGAAATCAAATTTTTTTTTGACAGAAAAAAAATATGGATATTGCAAAATCTTGCTGCTACTTTAAACTCGTGGTGTTTTTTTTTTCTTCTTCTTTTTCTAATGAAAACAGGGGAAACTGTCAAGCGACTACGTGGCTCCCTTGTATCAAATAATCCTTAAAACATGACAAAGAAACTGTTGTACAATTTCTTGATACCGGTGGTTTCGCGCTGTCGATGTGTCTCCAATAATGCGCAACCCCGGGATTTCAGTGATAGAAAACGGGAAAAAACGACGAATGCCTCTTTGAACACCATTGCAATGCCTCGGTTGAAAGGCATTTTGCCGTGATTGATCGTGTCTATAATTTGTTTTCCAATTTACACAGCTCCCTTCTTGTAATTATTATTCCTTTCCCCCGAGTAATGCACTTTCTCCCGAAAGTCCTCGCTTCACTGATCAATCCAACAGATTTAAACTCCACAAAACGTAAAAACCCTTAATTTTCCATTCAACCTGTCTGCCTGTGCCACGTGCAGCCGTTGAAATTATCCGCAATATCCACGCGTGCTGTCAAGTGCCAGAAGTTGAAACTCAAGTGTTTATTTTAAAAAAAACCATCGACCTCTGCGATTATTCACCAATTGTCCACTGCGTTAATATTCCTCGTTAAATCTTCAGAAAATCCGCCACTGAATATCTACAGACTATGACTCACACACTGATTAGTGTCCTGATTGGCGTCGGAGGCCTTTTCATGCCACGTAGTCATAACATTTTCAAAATTCTCCTCTCCATGACTGAATGACAATGCTTCACCGATAATCACTCGAGTAATCCAGTCCTTTGGTTCTCGTTATCACCAACGAATCATCAACCAATCAACAGCGCTGAGTCTTGATAATTCCCCGATGAAATCCAGTGAAAGTGAAAATTACGGCGTTGGCAGCGTTCCCTAAAATGTCAGTGATGAGCTGTCAAACAATAAGAGCCAGCAAAACTGGGCCATTCGAGCAATGTAGGAAGGCTAAGAGCTTCCTTCACTTATTTCCTCGTTATCCAACAACAGACTGGCCCCGAGAAGTTCCGAGTGATCGAGAAATTAATCTGACACAGAGAGGAATTAAAATCCATATAAAAAAATCAAAATGCTGTGTCACCTTTTATTTGAATGGAGTGAGAACGAAATTATATGGAAAAATTTCAGCGATCTTTCGTCTCTTCCAATGGCAAACAGGAAGATGAAGAGCCGTGATGATCAACTATACGATCAAGCGCTTTTCGTACGAATGACACTCTGCTGAGAGTAAAACGTTGACGCTTGATTGTTCATTCCAATATGTATGTGTAACACACTGAGTAACGCACAATAGCCAAGGCAACAGGGACGAGGAGAGATGGAGTTTGAATTTGTCTAAATGACGACAAAGATGATGAAGAAGCCGGAGATTTTGTAATGGCGCAGTCGTTTTGTATCTCAGATGTCAGGGGGATCAACCGTCTGGCCAATAAGAGTGAGTTTCTTCTTGTCCATCAATTGGTACCACTCAAGAAGCTACTGGGAACCCCCCGCCCCATGGGAATGGCAACACATGTATACAATATCGTTGAGCCCTTTTTACAAGGTAATTCGTGAATATCCTACTGCTCAATTCCAGCTCATTAGTCGGAGGGGAGCCAAAAACAGTTAAATCTGCAAGCAGAAAGAATGATTCATGTTGAAAAATAAAAATTTATTAATCACCGTTCAATTTTATTCAAATACAAATTTCCATTGATGTACATTAATATTGACAATAACTTCCTTAAATATTATCCCGGTTATTTTTTAAGACAAATCTCCACGTGTTGCATTGCGACAATTGGTGTCAATCACTTGGGGTCGATTACGTACGCTATTCGCTTGAATGCCAATAGCTCGTTTAGAGATCTCTGCCACGCGTGGAAACATGGGCATTTATCCTCTGGACCAAGTGCAGACCATCAATGTCACTTGGAATAATGATACTTGTATCGGTATTTACGGGGAAATTAGAGACAATCGTTATTCTCGATCTGTTGTAAACGGAAATCACGGAATGGGGGGTCGGAACAGGTCTTTTGTACTTTAGTTTCAATCCATTCTGATGACACTCAAAGGTAATTTTCGTTGACATTGAATACACGGATGAGATAATCGGTGGATTTTTATTAATCCCATTTATTCCCTGATACTCCATGATTGAGTGACATCGTGACTTTGAGATTAAGTCATTAGGAAAGTTTTGATTTTCTTTAACAAATGATTTTCACATAAAGAGACGAAAGATAACAAGTGGATTAATCGGACAGTTGTTTCTCGATAAATATCTCCGAATCAACGAGACATATTAAAATTATCATAAAGCCCTTTCTTGTAGCTGTAAAGCGGGGCTACAAAAGAGGTCCTCATGACACTTCCCGTATCTCTCTCCGGTTCTCAGATAATCAACTTGTTACCTTTTACGTATTATCATAAATTTCATTATCCCCTCCCTTCGATTAATGCCCAACAACCGAAAGGCTCTCAGCAGTCTTGATACAATCATCCTCAAGAACCCCCGCCCATACTTTGTACCGATGATTTAGCCCCGGGAGGGTATGCAGTAGAGCCCTGGAGCCAAGAACCCCGGAGGCGTCATTAGATGCCCCATAAAATATCGTGGAAACTCTGGAATGCAGAAGAGCCATTGCGCAGAGAGGACACGGTTCCTTCAGGAGAAAGATCCAGTAATTAGTGCACAAGTATGGACACTTGCGCTCGTCCTCCTGTGATTTTTCCTTGACCTCTGGAGCGACTGAGTCCCTGAACTGAGGGATGACGATTGATTCCAGGGAGTCGGGATAGAGGATTGGAAGATTGGACGGACATTCTCGTTTTCTGTCGGTCGCAGTCCCTTCGGAGAATAATTTCCAGGCACCGCCACCTCTGATTCTGGCCACCAGGTCCACCGCCAGCATCGCAGCGTGCCACATTGGATGCTCATTGACCCTAGCAGTGCTCACAGCTAATATTCTACTCGTCCCCTCGTCATCGGGATCCAGAATAACTGCTGAACCATTACAACGTACATTACCAATTGCTGAGCTCTTGGCAGCCGCGATGCAGACTCTCATGCAGGACTCTATGACCCCCAGTTGTTTGGAATCGAAGAAATTCCCATTGATGATCACCTCGATCGATGAGTCAGGGTGGAAATTCACTGGCCAGGTTTGAGAGGTCTTCGAGAATTGGGCTCTGGTACGTGGTGATCTCTCAGGGACACTAACAATGTCGAAATCATCTCTGAAAATATTCAAATTGAAGCCCCTCTCGATCAGATACGTCTTGAGCTCGTCCGCAGATGCGAATGACGGACCTGACGCTTTTCCTGGATTGCCTGGTTTTTTCACCAGGGCTAGGAATAATCGGTTCCCTGAGCATCGCTTCAGGTGACCACATCCTGGAAGAATACTCGTTATTGATTTCAACGCAACGGCGATGTCCTTCTTGTGCCTCAAAACACCGACGAATGCCTCTCGTAGTGCCACATCATCAACGAATTCCTTTCCAACAATTGCCCTCGGTGTAACATTTGTCAGGGAATTCTGTATATCATCATCACGAACCAGCAGTCGAGGCTTCTTCTCCAATATCTCCGTCGACATTTCTTTCCCTGTAAACCTGAAAAGACGTTCCCTTCACTCTCTCATCCATCTCTCATTTATATTACCGGTGCATTTTAAATAGGATAATTTTGTTTATAACTGCATCGTCAGTTGTCAATCGCTTTCCATTTGACGGACACAATTTTCTGCTCTTTCTTTTTTTTTATCGCGGTGTAGAATCGAATTATTGGTGTCAATTTGGGTTACGGTCAGATCGTTTGAAGGGGCTGTGCGCCAATTAATGAAGCTATAAACTTGAAAACAACTACTTAAACATCAAATGCAGAATTCAATTGCAAAGCTTAATTCGCAGCTTAATAAAACGATAACTGCAGTCGAAATCTCAAATAGAGATGAATAACTCACGAGGAAGAGGCACCCTGGGAAAATTTGTTGTCGAGGTAATTGGGTAATAATTCTTGCTGAAATATTTCGCGAATTTCGATAGGAACCACGGGGGTTCCATTATCTTGCGCATTATCCGTTTGTCACTTGACCCGCGAGATTTGAAAAGCGCGCGGTACGATAGGAAATGGTTAAACACATGTGGTATCTAGTTCGAGAAAATATCTATCGACGCTTACGTAATGCGAATTAACACTGAGAATGAGAAATACTGGGGGATATTACAATGTCACCGAGAAAATGTAATTTTATATCTAGCTTCCACGTGTTGACGAATTTAGATTAAAAATTCGGAGTAAACGTAAAAGATAATTGGGAAAACGGATCGTTTTGATTTTGTGATTTCCGGCGCTCAGACATTATTTAATTGGTGGTATTTAATTGATTAAAAAAAATTCATTAGGTTCATTATGATATCAAAATATTTCACACGTAAAATTAAGAAAAATAATTCCAATGTTAAGTAAAATTTAATATTATCTCCACACTTTTTATATTCCTTGATGTAATTTATCGGAATCCGAAATATTACTTAAACGTAATAATGACGAGAAAAATTTGTATTCCGTTGTAATGTAATTGACGTGTAGATGAGTAATTTTCTTAATGAGTAATTTTCTTAATGAGATAGACTGACGTAAAAACTTGAATTTTTTTTCAGAAATTCAAAAAGTGAAATTAACGCAGGAAACTATTCTTTCCCTGTGTAATGACACTTTCGATAAAACGACTACACGCGTCGGCTTAATTTATTTATAATATCAAGTGTAATGAAGAATTGAAAAAAAAAAAACGGTATTGAGAGCATTTTTGTTATTCTAATTGACATCGAGCCCTTGGGCTTTTCCACAAAAATCCCACGTTACACATTCCTCGAACGATTGTTTGTCGAGTAAATATTGCTCCAATTGTTCCACAGATAATCCGAGATATAAAAAGTCTGGATTAAGATGGACTATATAGAGTATATGGAGGCTTGTAAATTGCTCTGAAATTATTCAACCAGCATTCGAGAAACGTGGACGTTGTAATTTTTGTTTAAATAAATATTGTTATATGTCCTTGGAAATACTTAGTAGATTTTGTTAAGGGAAATTGATGAAGCTAGGTACTATTGAGAATTGATTTATTCTAATATTGAAATTCCGAATTTGGGAGATGTTACACGTTGCAAAGAAGTTTTAGATTTTTTTTTGGACAGTTGTTTCTAAGGACATCAAGGTATGCCAAACATCAGACGTTTCGAAAGTAATGAAGGTCTGTGTAATTATTCTAGCAGGCGTAAATGACGGTTGAGCTTTAATTGCTTTATTACTATTTTTGGGTAATCCCGGAATTGTCCACTCCGGAAATTTAATATTGAGGTCAGGTAAATAGGGATATTTTATTCCTGAGGGGTAGAGATTATTGTGGGTATGAAAAAATATTTTATCCACATAAAAATCATGGGAGCGTCGACGACAGGTGGCAGGACTGTACGTAACCTATTCCCCTCGTGATAAAGACCTATGGAGTTTATTTATCTAGGGCAATGAGTAAAAAATAAATGCAAAAACCAATGACACCTCAACGTTAATATCGACTTATCCTATTTTTCAGATGATTCGTGGTTATTTTCTACCTTCTTGGGTGGATGATGTCGTTGATGTATCAGGACGTATTTGTCAAACAACACAGAACACTTGGAACTGGTATTACACGTTAAGTGAGTGCATAAAGTTGTAAACACTCTCGTTTTTACTCCGTTTTCGTGGTGTTGGCGCAAGGGTGGGATAGCTATTGTTTATGTGAATTGTTGATTGTTCAATGGTGATGGTACAATGAGACAGATGGGAATTGTGCACCTAGGGGCTTTTGAGACTGAGGTTTATCGGATTGGAAATTGTTGGGAAGAAAAATGAGATAACGGTTACCAGTGACTAGGGGCGGGGCGTCAATCAATGGAGTGGGGGATATGAGGGGAGATATCACATTTACATGTATTAATTTACTATCGAAAATGGATGAGTCGATTGGTGTGAGGAAATTTTTTTTATTGTTATTTCGGGGTTTGGTTCGTTGTCTGAATTTTTTGACAATCGGGATGACAGGGGTGGGACTTCTTGGAGGCGCTGAAGGCGACTTGGGCACGTGGACATTCAGATAACCTATTCCAATCCTATTCTCATTTTTTATATAATTTTTCATTTGATAAACTGTCGACGAATCTGTCACACTGTCACGCTTTTTTCTTATTAGTTTATAGTCGTCTTAGGTTATTTGAATTTAGAACTGATTTAATTTGGACATTTTCAATTGTGATTTCAGGCAGGATAGGAGAGGATTGCTTGTAGGGATTGAAGGGGCTTGCTAGGAATGGAGCAAAGCAGAGAGGATTGACTAAAGTAGAGGCTCAGTTCCGGGGGTTCGAGTGACCCCAGCTGCATCGTAGTACTGCACCCCAAGAGAGGGAGGGCGCCACACGCAATGTTGAGGTGTCTATCAAGTCGACGGGGTGAATTTTATTTTCTGCTGTACGAATGCTTTTTGTTTTTCATTTGTTTAACTGAAATTTAGCCGACTGTTGAACGAGCGGAAGGGGGAAGCCACATTTTGTGGAATTTCAAATGAAAAAAATTATTCAATATATTGAAGATATACTACTAATGAAATTAAATTAATGTAATGAATGTGTTGTCTAACGGGCAACGTACTTGGCTGGCACACGAACAGCTAGGGTTCGATTCCGCCATCATTCATTTTTTTTTTTCAAAATAATTCCAATTTTTTTTTTTTTGTAAATGGCTAATGGCTACTTTCTCGACGTTCATGTTCCCCTGATACTTTTTCGAAAATTTAGAATTTTCAGATTTCAGTGAATAGCTCCTCGATTGTCATATTACCCTGATAGTTTTTCAAAAAATTCGAATTTTTCACCACTCGGTAACTTTTGTGCCCCCATGTGACCCTTAATCAAGTCCAATTAAGCCTTAACCAAATCCACTAACCCTTAA